AATTATCTGATAATTTGTGGGATGGGGGTCTGATCTACGCAATTTTTCTCATTTTCGAAGAATTTTTTGTGATTTTCCTAATTATTTGGGATTTAGAAGCAATTTAAATTGGATGGTTAAATTTTTGCTCTATAACTGGATTAGCAAAAAACGAAAAAATGAATGCTTAAATGTATTGCTATTAAATAATCAAGTCGATTAGAAAAAAAAACGTAATAATGCATGCTTAAATGTGGTTATATGCTCGACGATTTTTGTAAGATTACTGTTATAAGGATTTTGTAAGAATTAATGTTATAAGAATTACTGCAATTATCTGATAATTTGTGGGAGATGATTCTGATCTACGCAATTTTTCTCATTTTCGAAGAATTTTTTGTGATTTTCCTAATTTTTTGGGATTTAGAAGCAATTTAAATTGGATGGTTAAATTTTTGCTCTCTATAACTGGATTAGCAAAAAACGAAATAATGCATGCTTAAATGTATTGCTATTAAATAATCAAGTCGATTAGAAAAAAACGTAATAATGCATGCTTAAATGTGGGTCATTTGTAATTTATAATTTGTTCAGATTTTGTAAGAATTTGACTTACTTTCTAACCGGGTAATAATTTTTTGCATCGTAGATGGATAATGATGGTGATTGTTCTGATGAACAAAGTGTTGTTAATATGGTTCAAGGTGATGCGCTATCCGTTTTAATTATAATAATTACTGTTATAAGGAGAATGCAAGCAAGACGTAAATTGCTTCGTAGTCTATCCGTTTTAATTATAATAATTACTGTTATAAGGAGAATGCAAGCAAGACGTAAATTGCTTCGTAGTGGTCCAAGTAAGGAAAAAAAAGACAAGAGAGAGCTAGAATTGAGCACATAGAGTGAATTTATAATGGTTTTAGTGATAGTTGTGTTAATTATATTAGAATGCGGAGTGGTGCTTTTGTTAAACTAGCGAGTATAATGAGGAACAATAGCCTGCTAACAGACTCTAGAAATGTAACATTGGAAGAACAACTTATCATGACACTGAACATACTGGGTCATAAATCTAAAAATCGGATTGTCAGATCTCATTTTATAAGATCAGGGGAGACAGTTAGTAGATATTTCAAAAAAGTATTACACGCAATTATTGGCCTGCGTGGACGGTACATGAGACAAGCCCCCAATGACATTCCACAAGAGATCGTTAACAACCCTCTATACTATCCTTATTTCAAGGTATATCTACACTTTAAGCACATTTAATTGTATAATCAATGAAAGTAAATTGTAATTTAGGTGTGTGATACATGTATTATAGGATTGCATTGGAATGATTGATGGGACTCATGTTGATGCAATGCTTCCGATTAATCTTGTTGCACGCTTTCGAGGCCGTAAAGGTGTTACACAAAATGTGCTTGCAGCTTGCACCCCAAACAAGCTATTCACATATGTTCTAGCAGGTTGGGAGGGGTCTGCAAATGATTATAGGATTCTTCAGGATGCATTGTCTAGACCACAACCACATGGATTGAGAGTCTATGATGGTAATTAAATATAGACTTAACTTAAAATTTATTATTTTTAATATTCAAACTTGACTTAACAATTTTCTTAATAAAATTGTAGGCAAATACTATCTATGTGATGCTGGGTACCCAACCATGCCAGGTTTCATCTCTCCATACCGAGGTGTTCGATATCATTTGAAAGAACATTCGGGTAAAACACCTAAGAATAGAAGAGAATTATTCAATCTAAGACATTCTTCATTGAGGTCTAAGATTGAATCTACATTTGGCACATTGAAGAATCGTTTCAAGATTTTGTGTGCTAAGCCGCATTATCCTTTTCCTATACAAGTAGATATTGTATTGGCATGCACGGTACTCCATAATTTCATTGCAACTGTGGATCCAAGTGATGAATTACTCAACGATGATGAAATTAATGAAGACATTGATGGTGAAGTGGCTTTCGAGAATGACACTAATTTAGTTGATTTTACTCAAAATCAAACCCAAAGAGAGCAAACTGAATCAAGAAATGAGTGGAAGACTCTTAGGGATGACATTGCTTGGGCGATGTGGGTGGACTACTGTGATATGTATAATCATGGTGTAACCACAGAGACTTGACTTTTATTATTGTTCTATTTATGCTTATATATGTACTCAATAACTCTATTTCCATTAATGGCGTTCTGCTTTTAATTACCTTATTCATGTTTTACTTCTTTCAGTTATCTAACTTTTTTCTATTTAATTAGTAATGGCTGATAATTCATCATTAAGTGGGAGAGATAATCAAAAAGGCAAGGGAGTGTTCCATCACCTTCCCCACCACCTCAGACCCCCCCAGTCTGTGCATCACGACGATGGTGGGTATTTTCTATTTCAGCAATCATACTTTGTACAACCACCTCAAGCATATCCGAACATGCCATTCCATGATAGCAGCTACTTTCCGATGCACCATACTCTGGGGTCATATACGAACATGATTAATTCTCCAACTTTACCTCCATAATTTCATAGTCCTAATTTTAGTGGGGTGCAGCTTTCTCACACTAGTGGTAATGGATCTACACCCGAATCAGGTTCCAAACTGGACCTCGTAGAAGAAGGGGTAGAAACATCGCCAAATCCAAAGAAGAGGAAGAAAACCACATCCAAAAAAAACGATGAAGAAGGTGGTTCTCAAGGAACCAAACATTTGTTCTGGGATTCCCGTTATGATGATGAGCTTATTCCATTTCTTGCCGACTTGGTAAGAAAGGGTTATAAACCCGACAAAAGCTTTAAGAGAACTGCTTTTCATATGGCTTCTCAACACATTAATGAGAAGTTTAATACAGTTTTTAAGTGGGATAATGTCATGCACCGCATCAAAACTCTACGAACAAGATTTCGTGATATGGAAACTTGTCGTAATCTCAGTGGTGCTGGATGGGATGAAAGTACGAAGACTGTCATTATGAAGCCTGAATGTTTGGATAGGTGGATTAAGGTAAATAAATTCTGGTAAATGCATGTGTTTTTTTCCATTTCTTTTACTTATTTTCATTGAATTAATTAAAATATATTTTTTCAGGACAAGAGCTTTAAGAATGCTAAGCTTAGACAATATGTCAATAAACCCTTGAGGCATTATGATGATCTCGCCCTTATCATCGGTGATGATCAAGCTACAGGACAATCTGCTAGTGATGCTTGGAAAAAATTTAGCCGTAGTGAGACCATAAATCTTGGAGATGAGATGAACTCACCTGCTAGTGATGCTTGGAAAAAATTTAGCCGTAGTGAGACCATAAATCTTGGAGATGAGATGAACTCACCAATGCATTCTCCCCAATCTACTGAAGTACACATTTTAGATGACGAGGACACTCCTTCGCCTAATGAAGCACACAACACATCAAGCTCTAAGGCTAAGTCATCATCCGCCAAGGTAAAGGCTCGTAAGGCCAACCTAGATAGTGAGATCATGCTAAAAATGGTGGATAAGATAGATGTATTTAGCACAAACATGAAGTGTGTGAATATGCATTGGACCGAGAAGTTATCCACGGTCCTATATGCTCATTCACATGACTTTAGTGTTGCTAAATTAGATACATACTACCGTCACCTCTTTATTAATGAGCATGAATCTAGACTATTTATGGGCATATCTTCGGATGGTCAGAAGGAGATGATAGAGGCATTTCTCAACAAAGAGGATTGAGGACATATAGATCATGGATGTGCGTGGTAGTTTATGATTCTCACTTAATCACATTTATGTTTGAAAACTTTTTTAATTATGGTTGAAGACTAATATCGTTTGGTTTAGAGACAATACTTTTTTATATGATTTTTTTTTATGGTTGTCGAATTGTATGACAATAACTAATATTATATTTATATTGTAGTAGGTAGTTATTTGCTTTTATTTTTTAATATTATCTTTCATAGTGTGAATATTATGGTGTACTAACCTTTAAATTAAACTTGTGACTGCAGGATATTTCTAAGTCACCATACAAATTTCTAAGATGCAAGCAACCTACAATGTGCATACATTGTACTGGATGGCTATTGCTCTGGGTATTTTGTGTAGTAAGCTTTCATGACACGAGTTTACATTGGTGACTTTTTTATTTTTAGGCTATGATTATTGTCATACTATCTGAGATTAGCAACCTGCAATATCTATTGATATTGTACTGGATGGCTAACAATGATGATGTTGACCATATTATGAGCCCTCAGCCCTATTCAGTTTGGTTTGCATCAATTTAGGCTATGATGATTGTCAGTTTTTCTGAGATTAGCAACTTGCAATATCTATTGATATTGTACTGGATGGCTAACAATGATGATATTGACCAAATTTTGAGCCTTCAGCCATAATCAGTTTGGCAACTCTGGTTGGCTTTGTGACCATTACAATCTGTTTGTGTTTAGTTTGGTGTGCATATGCTTTTTTTCTTGATTTTTTTCCTGCTCGGTTATTTGTGGGCACATGTTGCCTCTTATGTGGTTGGTTGGTTGTGCCATTCCATGATGTTGTTGGTTGGCTATTTTTGGTGTTCATGCTTTTGTGGGTTTGCTAGTTTTGTGTTCGGTTGGTGGAGTCAGTTATATGCTCGACGAACATCATCATAGAGGGCTTATCTGTGAAACTAACATGCTCGGTTGGTGGATTCAGTTATATGCTCGGTTATTTGTGGGCACATGTTGCCTCTGGTTGGCTGGTTGTGTAGCCTGATTTTGTTGGTTGGCTATTTTTGGTGTACTTGCTGTTGTTGGCAAGCTCTGGTTGTGTTCGGTTTGGGCACTGGTTGGTTTAATTATTTTGTGTTCAGTTTTGTGTACTTGCTGTTGTGGGTTTGCTGGTTTTGTGTTCAGTTTGGGCACAGGTTGGTTTGATAGTGCGAAGAGAGGTGTTCATGCTGTTCATGAAGGCATTGTTGAAAGGGTGTATGAAGTGGTTCGGTACATAAGTGCCAAGTCTATGCTCATTGTTACAATATGCCTTGCCTTGTGCATGCGTGTCATGGCTGGGACAAGGGTCTTGTTGCTAGCTTGTACAGGTATGATATCCTCCAACTGGTATTCGAATTGTTTTGTTTGATCTAGTAAGTTGCTTATGTGCTGAATGATCCAGATACTTGGCGCCAGAGTACTTCATGCACGGAATAGTTAATGAGAAGACTGATGTCTTTGCTTATGGAGTTTTGCTTCTTGAGCTCATAACAGGGCGTCGTGTTGTTGATTCATCTATACAGAGCCTTGTGATTTGGGTATGTTGAAAATTTGTTTGAATTCACCAATCTGATACTCCTTTCTATTAGTATAGAATTAGTCACGGCAACAATTTTATACAAGGGTAAATTAACCGGTACATTGATAGTTTTGTGGATAAGAACACACATTTCTAGCAAACTCATGTCTTTTCATAATTCCATGCATCTGTGTCCAAAACAAATTTTCTTCGTCATCACCATAATAGTCGAGCATTTGTACCTCTCAAGTTCTTATAGGTTCTGCATAAGTGGAAAGTTATCTATAGTGCTTAATAGTTTAGATACTTGTGATGCTTGCAGTCGTTTCTGCAAAGAAGACTTCTTTTGCAAACATGATTCTTTAACCTGCATTTACTAAAGAAATAATCATGTTCAGAACCTGCAGGTGTTCCACAGAGTAGGTATGGATGCATTCAGTAAGTGAACCAATATATGATAAAATTGAGATAACGCAAATGTTTTCATATTGCCTTTTGCTTGTTCACTTATACATATTTTATATTAAAAAAACTGTTCCAATGACGTGGACTAAATTGTGCAGGAAAATAGCACTTCTGAAAAATTGTTATAAGCCTGAAACTTCTGAATATTATTCTCAATAGCGTAGCTTTATTTTGCAGACTGTATTTTTCTGTGCTTGCACTTAATCACAATTCATTTTCCCTAGCTGTTGATGAACTGGTGTAAAGAATTTTGTAGCACTAAGTTAAGTATATTAAGAAAATGTCGGAAACTGAGTGATGGGAAGTCGTTAAATATTAGTTGTGATATGTCAAAGTTTTGTTTTGTGCTGGTCACTGTATGAAGCAAGTCTTCATGTATGCTTAGAGCATCTCCAACCATAAAACTCAAAATGGTGTAGTTTTTACACCAAATTGATGTAGTTTTTACACCAAATTACTATTCCATCTCCAACCCATTACACCAAATGTTACACCAAAAAGCATATTCCTTTTATTATTCTTATCTTTTAACATTTTTTGAAATTAAAAATATTTAACAAATTATATAATTATATAATTATATAATACATATAATTAATTATAATAATATATTTTATGAATAAAATAAAAATATAAAAATTAAATGCTAAATAAAATTAAAATATTACTTTCATAACTTCAACTAAAGATTACATTTAACATCACAAAAGAAAACATCACACTTGCAAGCAAAAAAAAATAAAAATAAAAGGCATTACATTTAACATAAAATAAAACACAAAGACACGGTCCATATTGATAAAATTCTAAGTCTCCGAATTAGTATATTCATCCCACAAATGATCAATTAATGCATCTCGAAGTGCAATATGAGCTTCTTTATTCTTGATTTGTCGATGACGAGCCAGAAATCCTTCAAACCGAGCATTTTCATCTACAACCATCTCTACGTCCGGAACTGGTGCTTCCTTCCAATTTTCAATTGTAGCATTAAGATCACGTTCATCCTCAATTATCATGTTGTGCATAATAATGCACGCAGTCATGATATCATGTAATACTTCTTTTTTCCAAAAACGAGCTGGTCCTGACACAATTGCAAATCGAGATTGGAGTACTCCGAATGCACGTTCTACATCTTTTCTGCATCCTTCTTGCTTCATTGCAAACAACTTTTTTTTTGGACCACGAGGATCATGAATTGTTTGTACAAGAGTAGACCATTTTGGATAGTATGAAGCAAGTCTTCATGTATGCTTATCCACTCATTCTCCTTGTAGCTTGTATACTAGGTAAATACATACTATTTTATTGTTCGATAATTTGGACTTTCCAGATCTTGTCACGTAGAGGTGAATGCATAGTATTTTACAATGGAAGTGTGTGTAATCATGTCCATCGTGTCATATTTTGAACTTTTAGTATTTCAATTGGGCATATGTGTATATCATGTCACCTAGAGGCATCATGCTTGAACATGTTTGCGGCAACATGGCTACTTCATGTTATTAAGGTAAATTGCAGATAACTTCTCTCTTATAAAAAATTCGGTAGCACTTACAAACCGTCAACTCATTTACCTACAATGTTCAACTTGAACCTATTATTTCATTAACGAAGTTTCATTAATGAACCTATTATTTCATTACCTACAATGTTAATCTTCATATCTGCAGAATTTATTGTACCTACATGGGGGGCTATACGTCAAAAGAAGTTCTTGGTTCAGTTTATCAAGACGCCATTTACAAAGGTTCCAGCACAGAGTGTTTCAGTTTTCAATGTGAATCTGGCGATGTCTTTGGTCGCAGTGTTCCTTGAGGTGCTTGTTGTTCCAGCACAGAGTGTTCCAGCACAGATTTTGTGGATAATTCATGCAACTTCATAAATTTGTGAATATTCAAGTTAGTACAGGTTTCATGTGATTTTTTTCAATCTGAAACATGTATATTTCAAGCTATTCAAATATGTAATTCATTGCAATTGATTCATATTAATTCAGGTTTCGTATGATTTCATTAATACAAGCAAAAATTTATAATTCATTGGAGATATTATTATTTGTTCATGTTACATTCAAACTTTTATATGATTAAGATTACATCATATAACGAGCACAAATAAAGTTGTATATAGTGGGGGTAATCTTACCATGGTGACCATAAACACTTTTTACTACAAACTTCAAAACCAACCAAACACAAGAAAAGTGGGAAATGTAATATCAACAAGAGTTTTTCCTTTTTTTTCCATGCGAACCAAACACAATAAAAATAAATACATTGGTTTCCCATCATTTTTTTGCGCGAACCAAAGCAAAACAATCCATTTCTTGGAAAAGTTTGAAAAACTCAAAACTTGTGTTTTTGTACATGAAAATGCATTTCCCTATATCTAGGAAACGAACCAAACAGCCCCTCAGATAGTCAAACTTAACGGTGTTAAATGTTAGGGCTTTCTAGATAAAACTTTTTGAAATTAAGTGAATAATTATGTTCCTTGACTGAATGGTCTTAAAGCTAGTTGGAATTTCAACAAAAAGAGTGTGGGTTCAATGTCAAACAAAAAATATGATCTATATGAAGCTGCTTACGTAATAAAGATATTCCACATGGGCGGGCCCCCTCTGCTGCTATTGATAATGGGTTGCAATGTAGTTGAAAAATATATATAAAGGAAATTGTGAAAAAATACCCATGATGTCCACTAACAGGCTAGAATTATTAAAGGGAGTTTAACTTTGAATTAAGGCCAAAAAAACTCCAGTTGATTCCTATGAAACACATAAACATAAAAATATTAAGAAATTATGATTTAATGCTCCAAACCAGGTTTCTGAAAGTTTTTGGATAATTAATTTTTAAAAAATAATTACAATGTTATTTTACCTTTTAAAATGAGCTAGGTATTGCAATGCTGACACTTTTTAAAAAAATAAAAAATTGCTTCAAGGCCCCAAAACCCAAAAGACAATGTGTCCAAGCCCCTCATACTTTTCAAAATGTGTTGCAGCCACTAAAATTTGAAAAAAGTTTGCCCAAGCCCCTCCATCATGACTCTAGCTCATGTTTTCCTAATTTTTTTATATTTTTTTACCCAAAAACCTAATTTTACCCCTCCATCATGACTTCAGCTCATGACTCTAGCTCATGACTCCAGCTCATGTTTTTCTTAACATGTTAACTATAATAATTAACATGTTAACTACAACAGTTAACATGTTAACTACAACAGTTAACATGTTAACTATTATCGTTAACATGTTACGTGCTATGGATAACATGTTACAAACTTCCTCCAATTCTCGAGCTAAAACAAATCCGGCGCACATCCACAGTCCCTATATCAAATATTAATACAATTTTGAGTGAAAAACCCTACCTAAATAAGCTTTTGAAATATCCAAATGGTGGAATTTTCATCATAAATTAACTTGTCATCCGATAAATGTTTGCATTATTCATCATAAAAATAAATAATTTTAACGATAAATATCAATAATCTATCAGATATTTCTTCAAACAAATAATATAAGATCTTTCACATTCAATCAAACAAACTCAATAATATACAATAATACTGAAGATAATTCTAAGCTTAGGAACTTCTAAAAACGCAAAATGAATTAACTGAACCATCTCTCAGAAATTTCATCAAACAGGTAATCTACACACCAAAAGTCCAACATGACAAAGACCATCAGCAAGCCAACGACAATAATGAAACAAACATAAGAGGTTTCAACAACGGAGGGCTTCGTGAGGCCGAGGTTGCCTGCACAGTGAACCTCCTCGCCATTAAAACCCTTCCACCAAAGCAAAATCGACGAGAAAAAGGACATGTCGACTCTGTAACCTCGCGAAGCAAAGAGCGGAGGAGAGAGCAGCGGTTGCGGTGCCAATCACCATTGCCATTGGGGGATTTTATAGCGGCCTCTAGAGTTTGTTAGGGGCGTCGAGGAAGGAGTATAGTTAACATGTTAACTGTTGAAGTTAACATGTTAACTATTACAGTTAATATGTTAACTATTATATATAAACCGATAACTATTATAGTTAACATAATTAACTATTATATATAAATAACAGTTAACAGATTACAAATAACAGTTAATATATAATCGATTATAGTTAATAGTTTACTGAATATAGTTATCAATTTACCAATTAGGGTTAACATGTTACGTATTATAGTTTACATGTTACATATAATAGTTAATAGATAATGATTAATAGTTAACAATTTATATATAACAGTTAACAAATAATGTTAATAGTTAACAGATTATATATAACAGTTAACAGATAATCCCTCCATTGAAAGTTAGACATCAATAACATAGCAATATAAACTGTTAGTTTATAACAATAAAAACATAACACAATCAACCAATCTCTTTCTCGTCATCTCTTCCTAATAACACCAACATCTAAAAACAAATCAAAGCAAAAACCACAAAGCAACATCAAACTTCACCCAAAAAAAAGCCAAAAATTAAATACAAATCCAACCACAAAAAAATACCCAAGGTCTCGCGCGTGAAAAAGCAATAGTCCATGTCGACAGCAGCGATCTAATGGCCGCCGGCGGCGGAGGCGTAATTGGGGGTGTGATCGGGACAGAGGACGGAGGTTGTAGAGACGGGGGTGGCGACAGAAATGGAGGCGTCGTTGGCGACAGAGGAGCATAAGGCGCAGCGGGGATCTCGTGTGCAACGCGACGGATCTCGGCGTGGGAGAGGGAGCCGGCGTCGCGAAGGGATTGGAGGCAAGGGCGAGTGAGATCGAGACCAAGAATAAGACGATGAAACGACGCACGACGAGAATGATGAGGCGTCGCTGGCGGCGGAGGAGCAGGAGGCGCAGCGGGCGATCTCGTGGCATCACGGCAGATCTCGGCGCAGACGAGGTTGTCGCACCGTCGCGGAATCGAGGCAAGGGGCGAGTGACGATGAGACCAAGAAGACGGCGACGAGAACGAGGGAGAGTGAGATCTGTGATGAGGAAGAAGGAGAGGGAGAGATGGGGCGTTGAGGAGCGGGAGGAGGAGAGGATGAGAGAGTTGAGGGAGGGGGCTGAGGGGGACTGGAGGAGGAGGGAGGTGTAAGGGAGAGGGTAAATTTGGGATTTTAAATAAAATGCATTAGAACTTGTGGAGAGATGAGTTGGAGGGGCCTGAGGATAATTTTTCCCAAAATTAAGGGCTGCATCACATTGGTAAAATTAGGGGGGCTGGGACATATTGATTTTTGGATTTTGGGGCGTTGAAGCAATTTTTCCTTTACAAAATAATTACTTTTTAAAATAGTTATCCTTGCACTTCTTTCATCATTACTAGGAGAAGATCCAAATCCTCATAGGTGTGCAGACTTCACTAGAAAAATATAAAAAGAAAAATAAAAAAGACGAAAAAAGAATTAGGGCATGTTTGGATTCGTAGGGGGTGAAGGGAAGTTAAGGGAAACTGAGTGAAGGGAAGGGAAGGGAAGGGAAGAGAAGGGAATTCACTTCCCCTTGGTTACACCTCAATTTGGGGGGTAACAATTTTTATACTATTAGGGGGTGAACCAAGGTGAATGGAGGTGAATTAACTTCACCTCCTAAGTGTTTCCTAACAAGATGAATGGAGGTGAATGGTTCCCCTAACTTCCCTTCAACCTCATTCCCCTCAATCCAAACAAGCACTAACGCCATAGTCGTACTTGGACTTTTCCAAAAGAACATTGTATTTGCCCATTACGCGACAGCAGCACCGGGTCCCAAAATTCTGCGCCATGTTTGAACTTTTATTTTCAAAATTGGCGCTCTCTCTTACAAATTTATAAATAGATACATCTTCAACGATAAAAACACAACAACACAAACATGTTTAAATTCCTCACCTTAACCCTCTTCATCCTCTTCACCACAATCTCCCCCTCCGCCGCCTGCAGCCAACAAGACCTAACCGCCCTCCTCTCCTTCAAAAATTCCTTCCCTCCAAACTCTATCTCAAATTCATGGACCACCGCCATCGACTGCTGCTCCTGGGACTACATCCAATGCGACGAAACATCCGGTCGAGTCACAACCCTCTCCATCTCTGACAATCGAAACCTCAGAGGCCCCATCCCTCCGTCAATCGGCGATCTCTCTGCTCTCCAGGTCGTCAGTTTCAGCAACCTCCCCGGCCTCATTGGTCCCATCCCGCCCCAGCTGTCAAAACTGAAAGCTCTTCAATTCTTGACTATGTACAAAACCAAGGTTTCTGGTCCCGTCCCTTCTTTCCTTTCGACCTTCACCGGCCTCAGAGAGCTCGAACTTGCTGAAAGCAACTTTGTAGGGACGATACCGTCGTCACTGGGAAATCTTGTTAACCTGAGCTTCATTGATCTGTCAGGTAACCAGCTCACAGGAGCCATACCTGATTCTCTCTTCAGTAAACTTACAGGGTCATTAGCGGACCTCGATGTTTCTGATAACACGCTGAAGGGACCAATCCCTAAATCCTTTGGGCGTGTAAGGTTTGCTAATGTCAATTTGGGGAGTAATCAGCTCGATGGGGATGCCTCATTCTTGTTTGGGGAGTCGAAGACTGTGAGCCAGGTAATTCTGTCGAAAAACAAGTTTGCATTTGATTTGACTAACGTGAAGTATCCTCAGAACCTACAGTATTTGGATATTAGCCACAATAAAATTTATGGAAGCATATCGAACCAGATCACAAACTTGACGAATTTTGGTTACTTGGATGTGAGTTATAATGAATTGTGTGGGAGAATCCCAAGCGGCGGGAGTTTCCGTCAGTTTGAAGCGCAGTTCTTTGCCAATAATAAGTGCCTCTGCGGAGCTCCGCTGCCTCCGTGCGACTAAAATGAAAATTGTTTCTCAGCGAAAAGTAGTGCGTGCTAGAAAATAAGATGCCTAATACTTGTTTCCTCTACTGAAATATTGAAGGCTAAATAATGTTTCTTCTTTATGTTTAATAGTATTGTTTCCCTGATTTCCTTTACTTTGTTTATAATTAAATATTTGTTATAAAAAGAGGAGTTCTGACTTAACTTGCATACATACGATTAACTCAGCTTGATAGCTAGCAAGTTAACTTGGCATGCAAGTTAATTTTTTCCTTCGCTTACATTACTAACGTTTTACTTGGCCTGAAAACTAATTTGGCATGCAAGCTGTAAAGACCCTATACATCCAACGGGCTTGACGATTCCTACGGGAAGATGATAATTCTATTCTCTCCATCTCCTAATATCGAAGTTTCCAATGGGGAAAAGGATTTTGTTTGTGTTGCCAAATTAATAGATCTGAAACTCTCTTCTTCTTTTTTTTTAATGCACACAAAATAGATCTGAACTGAATTGAATACGATGGTCTATTCTAATTTGCATTTGCAGGTAGGTGCACATCAGACAACCTACCTTCTTGCTCTCCAAGCCCGTCTGGATTTGAGATCCTTGCATCATGTGGACGGACTAATTACAATTTAAGGTCTATTGGATACTAAACTTGCATTTTCTATCTCTAACTAAACAGCAGATTAGAGAAGACCTTTTAACTAGGGTATTCTTCACCAAATTAAGTTAATGGGTACTCATTGGAAAGTACTATCTGTCTACTTTTCACAAAATAAAACCATTTATGATTTGAATTTTTCTAGAGAGAATTATCTGCATTTATGTGGAAACTGTTCAGCTCACCCAATGATCAGGATTCATGAACTTAGTTAATGTATATGAAAGTATTAGATATGAAAAGTGTTTCATGCTAGATATATTGAGTCTAGATGTTCTTTTAAGTAGTATAAATGTCCATGTAATTAATAAGTTTGTTCATATCACTTGAATCAAGGTTAATCCTCTTAGTGACTTTCTCTTTCAATTTTATCTTGTTTGTGTGAGTTTGTAAGAGTGCCCCCACCTTCCAACAAATTGGCATAAGAGATCAGTGTCAAGATGACATTGAAAGGATCCTCTCTTTCTTTACAATAGCCACAACTAACCAAAAAATTATTAGAATTGAGCCATTAGAATAAAGGTCACACCTGGTTCACAAGGAGCGTGAGAGATTGTGAAGTGTTGCTGAGCCTCAAGATGAGGCAACACTTACTGCAGCTCTGAATGCGACCTTGGAGAAAGAAATAAAGAAAGATCAATGTTCTCTCACCATTATCCCTTATCAAAACATCCAAACAAGCGTGGGAGACGCTTAGCAGCTCTGTGCTAGGAGTTGAAAACACAAAGAAAGTTTGACTTCAAACTCTGAGAGCTGAGTTTGAGTCCCATCTTATGAAGGAAAGTAAATTGATTCAATATTACTTTGTAAGAGTTTTGGTGTTGATGAACCAAATAAAAGACTTGGAGAAAATATGCAAGATGTTCGTGTAGTGTTCACTCAAATCCGCAAGTGCACGGACATCGTTTTAGCGATGCAAGGTCGTATCCTCAAGTTCGTTGTTAATTACTGATTTTTACTGTTTTGTGACTATCTAAACCAATCGTGCTAAAAAGTATGATAACGAACACGCTAGCTAGTATCAATGACGAATTCACTCAATTAAAAGGATCTAGGATTGAACTTCGGTTTCAACTCTGGTTTGAATCAACAAATTAATCAATTGTTATCGAATCTCTCCATTAAGAACGACTAACCTATGATAACTATTAGTCTCTTTCGACGACTAAAAGTCGTGCATAATTCAGCCTAACAACCTATTTTCATAGTGTTGAACTAAATTAAACCCATTAAGTTCATGTTAATCCCTCATGTTCTCAAGAATAATTAACCTACTTTCGTGATCAATTAATTCTCGTTCAATTTCTATATTCCGACGTCAATTTAACCTTTCAGTTCCAATCAACATCCTAAAAGAATTAAATCAGTGGCCAATTGAATTAACCCTAGATAATCAAATACTAGTAATTGAATAATAAAATTTAAACAGTCAATAACAACAAAAATCAATTCATTGAATCATAACCATGGTCGAACCTAGTTTAAATCCCAGATAGAATAATTACTCACACATAATTGAAATATAAGACATGATGATGATGTGTAAGATCATAATTAATAATAAACTGGAAAATAAGATGAAATAGAAAACAAAACCATAATATCGAAGTCGATGTGTTACACCAATCTCCACAAACAGTACTTTGCTAAAAATCAAAGAAAACCTAATCTAAGAGTTTTTAGAGAGATGAGGAAAAGAAGAAGAAAGAAAAATAAAGATCTCCAGCCTCTGGTTCCATCCCTAATGCTTCAGGGCATCTCCCTTTTAATTCTGGAAAAGACGTATTGAAAGATAACTTCAAATCCTGCTCTAGATCGTTTTGTAACTGAATTCTGATATCGACACGACTGTGCAGATCAACACGACCAGGCCGTGTTTAACTCTATTTCGCTCTGCTTTCTGGGCTTTTTCTTCTGTATTAAACACTCCTGTGTTGATGGACACTGGGGATCCGTGTAGCCTTCTTTCCTTGCATTCCTTAACTCCTTCTTGACTCCGAATCCGCGCTAAGCTCCAATAATTCCTACACAATATATAAATAGAGTAGTAAACATGCAAGAACTAGGGAGCTTAACATGACCAAAATGTAAGGAAATACATCAAATAACAACGAATCCATAGGTAAAACATAGTCAAAATATAGAGAATATTCGTGTTTATCAACTCCACCATGCTTGAACTATTGCTTGTCCTCAAGCATAACAGATGGAAACACACGCATGAGAGGGTACAGATTCAAAGAAATGACAACGGAAATAAAAAATAAGCACAAAGATATCCACTATTCTCAAGTTCACGTGCAACATCATTCCACTCAGCCCAATGTCAAAACAGAAATCTTGTCTCAAGTTCAAAGTTGAAGAAAATGTATTTATAGGCGTTCACGTACGTTAGTGCAAGTGACTCAACTCATAAACATTGGAAAAAATGGCATGACAAAGTTAAAATTTTTTTAGTTGATTGCCCAAAACTCCTTGTGACAGACACATATCTCATCATAATGGGTCATACTTATCCTACTTAAGACCTCAAAGGAGCACTCGGTTTCCTTGCAATTTATTTATTTATTATTTTTTTTATTCATTTTTTAAGATCCCGTCATAATTAACACCTACTGACATGACAGTCATACTTCTAAGGATGCGGTGTCAAGTACTCGGTGCAACAGACTTTAGAACCCCTTTTTTTACAAGGCCGAGTGTTTCTCCAGTAACCAAAAGTAGTCCAAGTCATCAAAGGAGCCTAGATACTTATTAGATGGATTAAGTCAAAAGCCATGCTTATTTATTCCAATGTCTAGAGTTAAATATCGGCAAAGTGGAACTCGAACAAGTGACATCCTAATCAACTGGACATGAAACAAAGATTTTTTTTTTTAACAATGGGACATGTGAAATAAAAGATGTACATGTCAAAAGGGTTTGCAAACAGTGGTACTCTTTTTCTTCTTCTCTCTTTCTCTCTCTCTTTAAACATAGAAAACAAGCACTCAAAAACACAGAGAAAAACACACCAAAGCATACATAAAAGACATGAAATATCATCCCGACAAACCAACTCGCTCCCTCATGCTTGAATTGCACATTGTGCCCAATGTGTTTGAGTAATTGAAAGGAGGATAAGAGGGACTCACCGCTCATTGAGGTGGTAGTGGAGGTGGATAATCAAGAGGTAGAGAAAAGTGATGTAAATCTTGTATCAACTGGTTCATCGTCCCTAGTGTAGCGCCAAAACCATCTAGACACGTGTTAATGGCAGCGAATTGTGTGCCCATATATTGTTGTAAGGAGTGGACGGACTCTTTTAAGTGTTGCTACCTCCGCTCAAACATGTTGAACCTGTTGATCCAATTTGGGGACGTGCTAGATGTGGATACACCATGGAGCAAAGTATGTGGAACCGGTTGTTGTAGGGGTACCCCTTGTAGTTCTGTGTCGCGAGTCTGCCAGTGAGTTGGAAGTTGAAGCTTCATTGCATTTTCTGCATTTTGGAGCCATTAGGCCAAATGGATCTGGGGCTTCAGTTGATGAATGGGAGGTTGGAGGTGGTTTGAGGATACACCTGGTCGTTGTTGTTGCGGTGATGAAAGGAGAAGATGGAGGCTTGGTTGTGAAGGGGTAAAAGGGTCTGTAGGTGACCGGTGATTTTGGAGGTGGAGGATGGGAGAGTTGAAAGATTTGAAGTTAGTGGGAATTGGGAACGTGAGAGGAGATGAGAGGTGTTATGGGAAAGTGAAATGAAGGGGAGTTAATGGGTTGGTCAAAAGTTAGTGGGGAGTTGATGAAAAAGTCAAAGAGAAATGGGAAGTTAATGGGAAAGTCAGAGGGAAGTTAATGGGAAAGTGAGTTGGTTTGCTGGATCCAGGAAGTGAAGTGAAGACTGTCACCCGACAGCTATATGATTGTGTCCACGGACACAGCCAGGCCATGTAGAATCATTATTCAGTATTTTTTCCTTTTGTCCTCTTTAGCCTTGAACTCTCTGTTACATATTTTCCCCTTGTCATTCACCTACACACTAATTCACGACATCCTGATTACATGTCATGAAAACTAATAATTAAAACACTAAAAGGAAAAATAAAGTGAAAGGAAAAACTTGGGTTGCCTCCCAAGAAGCTCTCGTTTATGGTCAAAAGCTCGACCCCTTCAATGCTCACAATGATGATGGATCGGGAAGGGTACAAGTACCCAGCTTCTCGATCGGAGTTCCCATGAAATAATGCTTTAACTGCTGTCCATTGACCTTGAAGGTTCCTGTGGCTTCACTCCATACTTCAACAGCCCCAAATGGGTATACCTTACCCACTTGGAATGGTCCAGACCACCTCGAATGAAGATTGCACAGAAAAAGCTTGAGTCGAGAATTAAATAAAAGTACCAGGTCCCCTTCTGTAAATTCTTTCCGAAGGATGTGTTGATCATGCCACTTCTTTGTTCTTTCTTTGTAAATCTTGGCATTCTCATGTGCATCCAACCTCAATTCATCGAGTTCATTTAGATGAAGCTTTCTTTGTTCACCTGCTTCTTTCAAATCTAAATGAATGTTCTTGATAGCCCAATGTGCCTTATGTTCCACTTCAACTGGTACTTCTTTCAAATCTAAATGAATGTTCTTGATAGCCCAATGTGCCTTATGTTCCACTTCAACTGGTAAATGACATGATTTCCCATAGACCAGCCCAATGTGCCTTATGTTCCACTTCAACTGGTAAATGACATGATTTCCCATAGACCAACCTGAATGGAGCCATACCTTTAGGAGTCTTATAAGCTGTCCGATATGCTCAAAGAACATCATCTAGCTTCATAGACCAATCTTTTCTTGAACGAGACACTATCTTCTCGAAGATTCCTTTGATTTCCCGATTAGTGATCTCCACCTGGCCACTTGTTTGAGGATGATACAGTGTAGCTATTTTGTGAGTTACTCCGTACTTCCTTAAAAGTGTACTTAAGATCCTGTTTGCAAAGTGAGATCCTCCATCACTGATTACAGCTCTTGGGACACCGAAACGGGGGGAAATGACCTTTTGAAATAATTTGACCACAACTTTCACATCATTTATTGGGGATGCTAAAGCTTCAGCCCATTTTGACACGTAATCTACTGCTACCTATATATACTTGTTGCATGATGATGGAAAAGGTCCCATGAAGTCAATTCCCCACACGTCGAAGAGTTCGACTTCAAAAATGTTATTTAGTGGCATCTCAGTCCTCCTTGAGATGTTTCTTGTCTGTTGACAATGATCACAACTAAGCACGAAACGTCTCACATCCTTGAAAAGTGAAGGCCAATAGAACCCAGATTGCAATACTTTAGTTGCGGTCTTAGTGGTGCTTGCATGACCTCCGTATGGTGAAGTGTGGCAGTGGGATATGGCATCCAATACCTCCTCTTCAGGCAGACATCTTCTAAATACTTCATCTGCACAACACTTATAAAGACAGGGTTCATCCCAATAATAGTGCTTGACATCCGATAGGAACTACTTCATCTGCACAACACTTATAAAGACAGGGTTCATCCCAATAATAGTGCTTGACATCCGATAGGAACTTCTTGCGTTGTTGATAGGACAATTCAGGTGGTAACACACCACAGGCAATATATTTCACAAAATTAGCGAACCAAGGGTCTTGAAGACTTGTAACAGCAATCAGGTTGTCATCTGGGAATGAATCATCAAATGGCTCCTTTTCACCTTCTCCTTGATCCATTTCTTGCCTGAGCCTAGAGAGATGATCAGCTACTACATTGTCGGTGTCTTTCTTGTCTTTTATCTCGAGATCAAACTTCTATAATAAGAGAATCCACCTTAACAGTCGTGGTTTTGTATCCTTTTTAGCCAAGAGGTACTTCAAAGTAGCGTGATCTGTGAATACTATGACCTTCGACCCAACAAGGTATGGTCGGAATTTATCCAAGGCAAACACTACGACTAGGAGTTCTTTTTTTTGTCACATAGTTCATTTGAGCTTCATCCATTGTTCTACTGGCATAGTATATAGCGTATATTTTCCCTTCTTTCCTTTGCCCAAGAACAGCCCCGATAGCATAGTCACTTGCGTCGCACATAATCTCGAATAGAATGCTCTAATCAGGTAGTCTCATAACTAGGGCAGTTGCCAAAGCTTCATTTAACCTGTCAAAAGCATCAAAACAAGATTGATCAAATGCAAAGGGAACATCTTTTATAAGCAAGCGGGTTAAGGATTTGGCAATCTTAGAAAAATCTTTAATGAAACGCCTATAGAACCCGGCATGGCCTAGAAAGCTCCTAACTCCTTTTACATTAGTCGGTGGTGGCATCTTAGCAATAATATCAATTTTAGCTCTATCCACTTCAATACCCCGATTAGAAATTAAATGACCCAAAACAATTCCTTCTTGTACCATAAAATGGCACTTCTCCCAATTTAACACAAGGTTCATTTCATTACATCTTTTTAAGACCTTAGCAAGGTTATGCAAATAGTCATCAAAAGAAATACCATAGACGGAATAATCATCCATAAAGACCGCCATAATATTCTTAATAAAATCAAAAAATATGGCCATCATGCATCTTTGAAAAGTGGTAGGCGTTACATAGGCTAAATGGCATTCTCCTATAAGCAAAAGTGTCATAAGGACATGTAAATGTTTTCACGCCCCGCTTCCCAAAATACCCGAGAATCGGAACGTGAACAAGCCTATGACGTATTAGATCAAGGAGAGTAAATAAAAACATTTCTCCTCAACCTAATACGCTAAGCGTCTGGAAATAATACAATGTGAAGTCACAGGTCCCCGATCACAATCAGCAAGAATATAATGAACAACTCAGAATAAAATAATACATATCACAATGAATATTCATCCCAGACATAATAATCAGGTCAACATGCCCTTACACAAAACTAACTGAATGAAATACTAGAGAATATAAAAATACACTGGTCAAAGGAAATAAAAGTGCTACAAAACAAACTAAAAGGAATGACTAGGCTTCGGCTTCTTCTTCTGCTACATCTGGAAGACACTCCTGCTGAGAATCCTCTGGCTCCTAGCGATCTCCTAGCTGAACCTGTCCGTCATCTAAATCTGACGTACACCATAGAAAACAGGTGTACGTCAGCGTGTATGGCACACGGCAAGATCTCACAGAGAGAAATAGGAACGATCGAACGACCAAAGCAAAAACAACAACAATAATAATAATAACATGCAAATGAATTACTAATAATCTAAATGCAATCTATCACTGGAATAAAATCATCAGAAGAATCTAAAAAAACCATCCAAGTGTCAAGATCACGCAGCTAGCCAACATGGTAGTCATCCAAGTATCCAAATCACACAACTAGATAGAATTAATACTTAAATACCTATAACTTGAGACGTAGTACGTCAAGCGAAATAATCCAAATAAGGAAACCCTCATGTATATACCTTATGTCTCAAATTATAGATAATTAATTATTAATCCCGATCTATGTATGAACAGAAATACAACTAGTCTACATCTCACAAAACCAACAAGTCCACCATAAGACACGCAAGCATATTATTCTTGTTTTATATGTTATTTGAATTGGGGAAGAATATTTTCATATATATAATCGGGTCCCCGTAAAGTCGTCCGGGAGCCGCCTTCAAGTCAAGTCCATGTACACATATATAACTCTCAATATCAGGAAAGCAAGAAAGCGCATATGCCCGTTTATATACATGTTATATTCTCCGTCCAATTCCCCTTTATAAACCCAATGTTTGTCAGATTAATTAAGTAACTGTACATGAAATATCGTGCACTAACCACAGAGTAACCGTGGAACGACTTCTATAAAAACTATGAAAATAACCGTGACCCGTAACATGTCAGATCAAGGGTGCATCGTCTAGTCGATACTATAGTAGTAATAAACAAGGAAACCTCATACCGAAATATCGATATCAAGGGTACAGCCATGCTTTGAAGGCACGCTTATAAATCATACTTTTAACAGAAGTCGTCTTCATGTACAGTCTCTCCTATTGGATAACAACTAGGTGATAAAACACAAGCTTTCACACAGTCATTCATGTCAAACAATCCCACGTAGGTAATCACAATATACACTATAGCTAATCATATCACAGTCTAATCTACGCAATCAATTAATAATGGATATAAATAATGGAATAACAAGCCAAGGGAAAGCGGGATCTTGCCTACGAGACCGTGGGGTCTGATGACGAGGCGATGATGCTGCTGTGGATGCGGTATGACGGATCTGATTGGGGGCAGCGGATCTGAATGACGCGGTTGTAAGGGACGGCAACGACGGTGGTTGAGGGGCAGTGAGAGGGAGGTGGCGCTCGTCGGAGCTGATCTGGGCACGGTCAGGGGCTTGGCTCAGCGACGGACGACAAGGTGGAGCTCAGATCTGGCTCGAGATGGGGACTGGAGGAGGGCAGGTCGGCGGCGGCTACTGGGGCGGTGCGGGTCGCCGGAGTTGTGGAGGAGCTCGAGGTGGTTGAGTCGACGGATCTGGTGGAGTCGGAGATGAAGAGAGGTGGTGGCCTGAGGCGGTCGTGGGGGAGGAGGGCGGTCGGATCTGGGGGAGCGGCTGAAGGAGGAGCTCGTGGTGGTTCTCAGGCGGAGCAGGGGCTTGGCGAGCGGCGGCGCAGGGCGGCGACGGGAAACGAGAGAGAGAGAAAAGAAGAAGGAGGTGGCGTGGATGATGAACAGTAGAGGGAAAACGAAAAACATATACATATATATA